TAATTAGAATGGGGTTTTGGGGTTCATTATAGGATAATGATAATTATCTATATAGGCTTCTATAGTCGGCAGGCACTACAGAATCTATATTTATACACACCCTCGGTCACTTCTTACACCTATTTTCTAGCTGTGCTCCTCCCATATACGGCACTTACTAACCCACAGTGCACCTAAAGTTAGTCAACCCTTGACCCCTAACCCTCCACCCTCAACCTATACTTGCACTCCCCAGTTTCAGCAAAATCTCCCAGCCCGCCTGCGGGTCCCGACAGAGTGATGCGAACGCTGCCATTCTGCGGCTGCTTCTGACCTCGATTGACCCGAGAGCAAGGCCGCCCTCAAACCCAAATCCCTCAATGAGTCAAGCCACCCCAGAAGCTCATTTCGGACCCCTGCCCTCGGCCGAAGGAAGACTAAAAGCCCAAATGTCAACCTTGATTGTATTGTGAAGTCGATGAGCGAAACGGACGACGGGTCTGCGGTTTAGGGTTTGCCCTCAACACGCTTACTTGCTTCCGGACACAACCCTTTCGGCGCCTCTGTTTCTCCTCAACCCGTAACAAGTAGGTGGTAAGTTCCGGGAAGAGCTGACAGATGCTACGAGGCCGATGAGGGATGCCAGAGTATCTGTCACAACTTTACATGTCTCTACCATGTTAGGCACGTCGTTTTGCTAAACCCCCTCCATGAACCGCGACATCCGAACACCCAGAAGACCCAATCCTCCTCAGGTGCATTAAATACCAACTTGCTTCAAGAAAAGCCTAAACCCTAAACCCTAATCCTAAACCCTAAACCCTAAACCCTAAACCCCTAAACCCTAAACCCTAAACTCTAAACCCTAAACCCTAAACTCTAAACCCTAAAAGGGTTTAAGGGCTCGGGCCCTAGGCTCGAGGCAAGCGGCTGATGTCACCTCGGATGGATCCCGACCACTTCATGACCTTTCAGGGTTTAGGGCTTTTGGGTTATAGGGTCTAGGGTTTTTGGGTTATAGGGTCTAGGGTTTTTGGGTTATAGGGTTTAGGGTTTTTGGGTTATAGGGTTTAGGGTTTTTGGGTTATAGGGTTTAGGGTTTTAGGGTTTAGGGTTTTTGGGTTTAGGGTTTAGGGTTTAGGTGACCTTTCCGCAGGAGGTGATGGCATTCCACTGGCATGCGGAGATGAGCGCGCCGTAGGCATACGGCTCCTGCAGGGCTGAAGGCTGAAGGTCTTGAGTTTAGGGCTGCGTGGCGAGTCGCCTGCGTGGGATTCTGGGCTTCAGCATGATTCAATCCTTTTGGTTCCCTGTCTCCGTACGCGAGCTAACAATTATCCAAGCATCCCAAAAACAAACAAAGTACCAGTGCACGAACGAACATAGCTACATACACACACATGCACAAGCACTCTCTCAATCAACGCAGACAGACGCACGGGATGGGACAGCTGGATCCTGCTCACAGTCCACGCTGCAACCCCAGCAGCTGGCATCATCCCAGCAGAACCTCAGGAAGAGAAGAGACCATCAGAAGTCCCCGGGCCACACAGGTTTAGAGATGTATTTAGGGTCCGAAAATTCAATCAAGAGGGCTTATTCGGAAGCATGCTCCTTCGCTTGCCTCAACATCGGCTTGCAAGCTGAGAATCACGAGCCTGAAGCCTACCGTAGCCGCACAGCTTTAAGCTGCTTCAGCAGGGTTTAGGGTTTAGGGTCCCTGAAGTAACACACCTTCGCTGCATAAAGAATCGGAAAGCCGGGCAGGTGTCCCACTACGAGGTGGCTCGAAAGTGGCGAGTTGCGTACAAACGGCGATCTACAGATATGAGAACAGAAAAGCCGAATACACTCCTCGCAAAGCCAGCACAGCATGGACAATAAGTATACTAATGCAGAACGAAAAACAAAAGCAAGTCAGACCAACACATACATGATCCCTGAAGCCCTCCAAAAACACATTGTACAAACAAAATTCGCAGCGCATTTCTTCAACATTAGGCCAACGGCTGGGTACACTGGTCGCGAGCTGCTTCTGCAGCCGCCAGCGTAGAGACCCGCATGGGGAAAGCTTGGATTTTGCCCTTGCCTTGCGGTGTGTTTAGGGTTTAGGGCTTAGGGTTTAGAATCTGTTGAGATTTCCGATATGTGATTGCCTGCCTGCATGACGGGCTCTAGGTGGTACTGGTAGAGGTATTGATTTTGGATCAAGGGTACTGGCGAATCGAATGCGCAAGGTTTACAAGGATTCAGCGTGAGTTTTCTGACGGGTAAGTTGGCTTGAGGATGTACAAGAGGCTCTCCATGGATCAACAATCAAAACCACACCATAGCAAATTGACCGTACTGAAACGCGAAAGAGCAAAAAATGGTGAGGAAGAGCAACAGCAGCCAGCAGGCAGCAACAAAAGGAAGGGGCAAGAGCCAACATTGTCATACGCATTCCAGCAACAGCCCAGTCGCGATTGTTTTCGCAGAACTCCCCTGCGGGTGACCTCTGGAACGTGTTCGTTGCGTCCACCTCAATGGCAATGTTCACCTCGACTGCTAGTGAAAAACCGTGCAAAACCTCTCAACCCTAAACCCTACGCCTCAAACCCCAAAACCTCTAAACCCAAATAAAGCGCAAAACCTAACACCGGCCCAAAAACCTCTGAACCCAACTAAAGCGCAAAACCGGCCCAAAAGCCTCTAAACCCATAAGACCCCTACTTCCGAGCTCAGCAACGCCAACTTTGGAGCTTCCCTCCCCGGAGCGCTTCGAGGAGGCGCTGCAATTCCCCCGGCCAGCCGTGTTGAAATAGACCACGGCTGACTGATTGCCTTCCACCTTGGGGTTTGAAGTTTGGGGCTTGGGATGTAGGATTTAGGGACTAGGGTTTAGGACGTAGGATTTAGGGACTAGTTGGCTTTCAACAGACTTGGGGCTTGAAGTTAAGGGTTTTGGATTTAGGATTTTGGGGGCTAGTTGCTTCAACTTGGGGATCGAAGTTAAAGGGCGTAGGATTTATGGGCGAGGGGCTATGGACTCACTGTCGCGCACCTCGGGCTTTTATGAAGTCAGGGCTGCTGAGGCAAGACAAGCCAGAACTCTTTCAACCAGATCTCTACGCGGGAATGTTATGACCTCACCTGAACCTAGATAACATAATGATCAGGTGAACCCCAGGCACCGTCACAGAGCAGCCCGGCGGGAGCGCCGGATCGGCCACGCTCTTGTTTATGAAGTGGGAGGCATTTAAACCCAAAGTCGTGGCTGCTGCAAAGCAGTCGCTGGCATTCTCCACCAGCTCACCAGCCGCGCAGGCCCCTGTCCCAACGATCGTATACTTGTGGCTGAGAATCTTCGTCTGTGCCTCAGGCTGAGACAGACAGGATCCCTGTACAGCCCCAAGCCGATGGTCCAGCCTCAATCTTGATAGGGGGGGTTTCAAGCTCTCTAAGCTGCACACTCGCGCCTCTGGGTAGAACATGGGATCTCCGCCATACCGGGAGTTGCAGGGACACTCCAAGATACCGCTGTAGTTCGTGTCCTTTGGCACACCCAGGCCGTACCTGGCCTGTTTTGGCTCGGGTCCTGGTGTGAACCTCGGCCGGCAGTTTATCGTACGAATCTGACCACGACCCTTGCTCATGAGCATTGCAAATACTGTGTCTCGAAGTCTTCTTGTCCATGCAGACACAAAGGCGATTCTTTACGTCTTTAAGTGCTGGGTGACGCATCTCATGTCCGTAAACGCGTCGTTGCGAGCATGTCATAGCAATATCTTCATATGTGGCTTGACGGCCGCGATGATGACGAAATGCCACACTTGCCAGAAACGATTTCGCTTTATGATTTTGTTACACGAGCATAATCACCATGCTAGCGATGATGCTGATGGTGACGATGGCGACGACGACGAAGATGATGAGGGAGTGATGATGATGGTAGTGATGATGACGACGGCGATGAAGACGATGATGATGGTGATGATGATGATGACGACAATGATGACGATGAGGGTGACGATGATGATGATGATGCTTTTGGTGATGATGACGATGACGATGATGATGATCATGGCAACAATGATGGACACAATAATGGTGATGATGATGGTGATGATGATGATGATGACGACGACGATGATGATGATGATGATGGCGATGACGATGGTGATGATGATGGCGATGATGGCGATGACTTTTTTTTATGATGATGCTGGTGATGGTGCTGTTGATGCTGATGGTGGTGATGATGAACAAGAACCCGATGTTGCTGCTGATGATGATGATGATGGTGAGGTGATGACGGCATTGATGATGGTGTAGACGATGATGATGATGATGGTGAAGACGATGATGATGATGATGATATGATGATGATGGGGGATAAGGATGAGGATGAATGAGGATGAGGATGGGGACGAGGATGAGACGGAGGAGGAGGAGGGGGACCATCATGCGCATATTTGTGATGAAGGAGTTCGTTGCGAGCTTTATCTTAACAGCTGAGCTTTGGCGCTCTTTGGTTTAAGTGCTCCTCCTTTGTTTAGAATACTTACGGAACGCTGTGACAAACAATAAGGAATGGAGACTATCGTTGTTCCAACGGCCACGACTCACTGGTGAAATTACTGCCAGGGCACTTGGTGCAGTTCGTGATGCTGGCAGGTGTGACGCCGCAGTCGCGATTGCGAGTATCAATCTGCATAGGGGTAATGTGCCAAGTGTCCGGAGACTCAATCAACTGCGCATATCCCTCAGGATAGCCATGAAAGGACTTCCGGGATTCCCCGCCATTCCTGGACCAAAGCAGAGCTCGTCAGTTGCTCCCTGTTTCCTAAAGAGCGGGTTCCGCCCGAGGCCAATACCGACATGCGGAAAACAAAACAAAGCATCCAAAGACACCCACCGAAAATTGACACAGGCTTTGCTTGCGACCTTGGCTCCCCTCCGAAAAGAACTGAGAGGTGGGAATGGAAGGATCCTCGCGGTAGGCAGCAGATGGTCTATCCACCGCAATCAGTTTGCTGCTGGCCCCGTGAGCCATCGGATCTCCTAGCTGGGACGGATGACGTTTCCTTATATCGTTAAGGGATGTAGGGCGGTTCAGGTTTTAGGGTGATAGGACTTAGGATTTTAGGCTGTAGGTTCAAGAAGGTAGGGTTTAATGGCGCAGCTGCGATCTAGCTGTTGGGGAAATTACATCTGCACAAATGCCAACAACCCTTCAACTGTTCGCTGTTGCAACGGCTCTGTGTATGGCTTAATGCTTTAGGGTCTTCGGGGTGTACGGATTACCCTAAACCCTAAACCCTTAGCTAGGTGGTGCTTCCGACCGGGTTGAAAAAATTAAGTACATCGGCTGGTTTTTTCCGGCACTGCAAACCAGGTCAAGGCATGAATGAAAACTTGCAAGTGTGCGCCTTGTTTTGCAGGGCATGAATGTCTGGCATCCTGCAGCCAAAGCTTTGAGCATGCACAATCGGCATCCGACCGAGGCTTTCAGCACTTTTCAGACAGGAAGACTGTCCATCAAGGGGAGCCTGTGATCTACATATGGCTGGGATGCCACAACAAACACATATTTGGGGCTTAGTGGGACGAGGTTCCTGCCTTTGACGCAGCAGCCAAGTAATTCGCGACAGCTATCAGATACTGCACAATACGGTGATGAAACTGTCAAAAGCGCTGGCTTCTGCATTTCTTTTGATTCAAGGTCTCTCGACAATTCCAAGTCGATTCCAGGCCAGGTCTGACTCCAGAAACTGTTGCCATTGCATGTGTCTTAGGCAATGCTTCCGGCCTGATCCCAGAAAAAGCTCCTGTTGCCCGAGAAGGTTGGCACGTTGTAAGGCGACGATTCCGGCCTGATCCCAGGCAAGGTCGGGTCGTCGTCAGGCGACGATTTTGGCCTGAACCTAGAAAAAGTTGGCAAGTCGTCAGGCGACGATTCCGGCCTGCACCCAGAAAAGGCTGGCACGTCGTCAGGCAACGATTCCGGCCTCAACCCAGAAAAGGTTGGCACGTCGTCAGGCAACGATTCCGGCCTGAACCCAGTAAAGGTTGGCAGGTTGTCAGGCGACGATTCCGGCCTGATCCCAGAAACTGTTGCCACGCCTCAGGCGTCGACTCCAGGCCTGATTCCAGAATCTGTTAAAATTAAGATTATCATTATGAACCAATGAAAGCCGAGTCTGAGTGTCTGGCTCAGCATGGCGAAGATGTCGTCGAAGGTTAAGACCAGGACTTCATTTGGGTTTAGGGTTTATTGGGGTTGAGGATTCAGGGTTCAAAGTTTCGGGTTTTGTTGTCCTGTTGGCAGAGGGCCTAGGGATTAGGGATTTAGTGTTAAGAGTTGAGTGCTTTGGGTTCCTCCTACCTGAGCAAAACTAACTGCGGGGCTACGGCAAACCAGAGTACACTTCCACCCCTCTTATCCCCCCAAATGGCACATCCAACCTGAAACCACTAAACTAAACCCTTACTATGTCATATGGACATGGTAACCACGAACAACCACAAAAATGCAAGAAAACCTGTAAAACCCCGAAACCACCACCTAGTTAGGGGTTCAATCCGTGCTTCGATTGGCAAGCCTAAGCACTGAAGCGCTTCTCCTGGGGCTGCCGCCACCCTTCGAATCTCCGAGTGGGCACCGGTCATGAAGGCCTCTCAGGGTTTAGGGTTTAGGGCTATTTTTTTTGGGAGCCCCTGTTCCACTCGCAGAGGTACGGCTTGAAGAAATCCTGGCATCCGAACTCCAAAGCATTATTCCGAAAACTGGCTATCCTCTCAGGGTTTAGGGCTTCAGGTTTACGGTTCCTTGGGATTACCGGAATAAGTACGGTTTTGGGTTTCGTGCCAGCCAGAAATCGTGCGATGGCTCGGTCTCAACTCTCATTGGCTACGCAAAAAATCGAGAACAATGACCATGTCGTACACCCCAAACCCTAAACTCCAAGCTCCAAACCCTAAACTCTACATTGTACATGATAAACCAAGAGGCCATGTAGTGATGGTTATAGGCCCAGTTGATCGGAACGGAGACATCTTTGTCGGGATGGAGGCCTGGCTGGCCAACCGGCTCCACCATGACCTGAAAAGCTTCGAAGCTAGCTTGCTTAGGGTTCGGGGTTGGGCTTAGGGTTCAAGGTTGGGCTTAGGGTTCAGGGTTGGGCTTAGGGTTTGGGGATTGTGCTGTGGGCTTCGGGTTTGGTATGTGGTCCAGTAGTTCAGGCTTCTGCTCTGGCTTAGAAGCCTGGATCGGTCGTCGTCGTCGGCGTCGTCGTCGTGGTGGTGGTGGTGGTGGTCTTCGTGGTCGTGGTCGTGGCTAGTGGGTACTGGTAGTGGGATTGTGACTATTGTACTCTATTCGACACACTAAGACCACTAGGCCACTAGGACTTGTACCGGCATTGGAACTTCAGGTGGAAACAGCGCTCGCACTACTACGCCGCTGCAAAGACTGCGCCCCTCTGTCGCCCTGGAATTGTCCCCACCGTCCCAGCGCTTGAGATGACTGCACTCGGAGAAATAGCCCCATCCATCGGATCTATCAACTTTAGCACTGGGATTTTCGAAGCAACTAGAAGGCCAGGCCTGGTCCATCTCGTATCCAGTGATGGCTATAACCTTGCCCTTGAAGCGCTTCACGATCTCGGTGGGAAGCGGCTGGTTCCCCTGATCCGTCCAGAAAACCTCTCCTGAAGTGCCGGGCACGAGCTTTGAGCATTGTGCATGGCTCTGTGCGAGTGTCTCTGTGGCTGCGTCTGTCTGTGTCCATGTCTGCGTCCATGTCTGCTTTGCGAATGTGAGACTTGTGCTGCTGTAGGGGCTATCGCAAGGACTATCTTTAACCGAAACACCAGGACCTAGCTTTCTGGTATTGGTATCCTTTTAAGGATGTCTCTAAAATGGATCATTGCCAAGACTAGTGCTTGCATGGTCAGACACGAAGCCCTTGAGAATTTAGAGTTTCTCAAACCTGGGAAGCGCTACAACTTGCTGTGCCGGCAACCCACCTTATACCAAACATCAGGCTTCTTCGAATCATATGCCAAAGGTTCCATAGTGCGTCGCTATTTCGGGAGCCCACACATCGAAATACTCATGGCCCTTGGAGGCATAATCGTCGTTGAACCCGACATCCTGGCGGGCTCCGCTAGCCACGCGATACCTCGGTGAAGACTGCATCTGGACAAGTTAATGGTGATTCTGCAACTTGCGCCCCCGAACTAAACTGAAATCAGAAAGCCCGTCGCACCACGCCGATTATTCTTAGCTCAGGAACTTTCCGTTCATGTTTCCGGAGCCTGTCGATGTAGCGAGGCGCCATGCAGCTGAGAACGCAACGAAAGCAATCAGCCGCATTGAATGGGGAAGATGGCGCCAGGGCAACTGGCTCTAGATCCTGGGAGCAAAAGCCTGCACCGCGGTGACAATCACACCGGCAAGAGCAACGGTAATGACGAAAATGAACAAATTCTGGTTGCTAGCATTCGGAAATTGGAGGCAAGCACCAAGGCTGCTCAATAATCAGGTCGCCCGATTTTGTGCGCAGCTTACTTTGAGGTAAGTACCTTCAACAGACGGCGACATCCGAAGAAGCCCCACACGCCACTATCACAGGGCACACATCAAAATCAATTCCCAAAGCCTAAGCCATGAGAACCCGGCTCCGGCAAAGTCGTCGTCGTTGGCAACGAGGATCTTGGCCCGTAAGAGCTTGGTGCCTGTGATCTGCATTCGAGAGACAGGTCGGAAACAGATGGGGAGTAGACTTCCACCATGGACGCGAGAACTCGATTGCTCTAGATGCTTGCTACTTTAGTACGGTTGGTGATATGAATCCTGCATTACCCATAATAAAGAATATACCACAATTCCCATAGTTTAGGGTCCTTAAGGTAATGCAGGATTTATATCATCAACAGTATGACGGTGTTTCTAGCCCTCGTTCTGGGCTTCGGACTTCATTTTTCAGACTGCGGCGGTCCACGGCTTCGGGCTTAGGGCCGAGGTTCCTAAACCCGTTTGACCTGAAAGACTCCACTCTTGCGGGTTCAAAATAGTCACTTAAGAGATTAAAGGGTGCTGCAACCCGACAGCGTGAGCAGAGAATAGAGCGAAAGATAGAGAGAAAGATAGAGAAAGAGAGACAAAGAGAGAGAGCAAACATGAAGTCTGAAAGAGGTAGTCCATCAGTGCATATGGAAAGTCTTAGCTAGCGGCCCTAGCCCGACATGCTGTTAGACTCGGGCGGCGCCTGCATTCTGGCCGGCATTCTGCTCCAGCCAGTCACAAAGCTCCTGTCACAGAGGGGATCGGGGAGTAAGCAGCTTGCGCACTCACCTCAACTCACGGCTTCGGGCATGGTGTTTCATGGATCAAAACTGAGAGATGAACACGGACAACAATCGGAAAAAGCTAGCTTTCGCCCCAGCGGACAACACGGTTGAAGGTATGCAGAGCCTTTCCTCAAGCACAGTGAACCCTGAACCCTAAACTCTTGAAACCTCAACTTTTGAACCCTACGTTCCCAAACCCTGAAACCCCACAAGCGGGTTGCGAGGGTAGAACCAAAGATGGCTTGGAGAATGCACTCCAGCTCGGGGGCAGACACACCCCGTCCGGGTCATCTGCTGCGCTAGGGATAGTGCTGAGGATACTGACAAGAACAACTATAGCGATCTTTATTTTCCTGATGTTGATGATGATCCTGGCAGTGAATGTGTGCTACACTTGTGCTGCTGGTCTTGACCGCTTTTTCAACAGCTGGCTAAAACTCAGAGCTGATTGCTATCGCGCGGGATCCGTATTCCACGCTAGTTGATTGCGCATTCACAGCTCTCTGAATGGTTGGGATGCTGATGCAGAATGTTGCGGTTATTTTGAGCATGCATCTCAGGTACTACTTTCATTTGGCAGACTTGGCATTAGCCATCCCTTCAAACATTATTAAAGTCACCCCAGCCTGTCGTACTGCAAAGGCGTCCAACACCAACCCACCCAGACGCAACACGAACCTCGGCTTCGGCTAGATCTTTTCGAGCGGACTTGAGGACCTCGGAAGAGACCTCAGATTGGTTCAGGCTTTGGCGTTTAGGGTTTAGGGGTCTAAGGCGCGTCCAGGAGCTTGAGGTCTGAGGAGTGCGACTCCAGGCCTTTGGAGGGTTCGGGGTTTCGGGTTGAGGGGTTGGAGTGAGGGATCTTACTGAAATTTACACCTGAAGCGAAAGCCAGACCTCCTGATTTGCAGGGCCTCAAGTGGCAGTGTGCCCTACAAAGCCACAGAAGCCGTTGCCCCTCGAAGGGCGCTTGCAGACGAAGTAGTTGGCACATGAACGACAAAGCCTAGTTTCGATTTTCAGGCCATGGCCACATCCAACTCCAAAGATTCTCCGCACGCAATGCGTCAGCTACCACGGCCGTGCAGGGCAGCGCGGCACTAGAGGTACAAGAGGAAGTGAGCCCGACATGGACTCGAGCAGAAAAGGAGAGCGCGATGTGCAGATGTTGGCCAGCTATGACTGCCAACCACGAAACCGCAGCCTGCGAAGGACCCCAGTAAGGCGTGCCCAAGCACTGTAGGGTAATTACGCGGTTCATGTCCGGCTTCCGAAGCTTGCCTCCGCTTCTCTGTAACCCTGAACCTGGAATCCAAGATCTATCTGAACTTCAGGGGCCCCGTTTGTCTGTGTTGCTACAACAACATGAATGCGCACTCGCCTCAAGCGATCCAGGACTCCCGAAGAAGCGAAACCACTGAAGCCATGCACGCCTGAATGCGAAACCCTAAAATCCAGCACCGCCTCTACACCGCTGAATTTCATATCCCGGAACTCGACAACTCGAACAAAAAGGAACCTGCCTGCACTCCTAGACTCGAAACACCGAAGCGCTCAACCGTGGATCCTAACCCTAAACCCTAAACCCTAAACCCTAATCCTAAACCCTAACCCTAAACCCTAAACCCTAGACCCGATCCATCCGAAAAGTCCCCGGGCTTCCAGGCGCTACCGGAGTCCAATATGGGCGCTGCCCGCGAGGCGAGGGTCCAGCCTCCGGCCCAGACTTCGGAAACTTGAGGGTTTCGGGTTTAGGGTTTAGGGCTTTAGCTTTGACGCCTCAACCTGGAACTTGGCGAGGACACGGACGACTGCTACAGCTGATGCTTCAACTACAATAGCCTTCAGCACCATAGTTGTCGCTGCGGTGTCACTCTGTCAGAAGCGTCGAGGCCTATGGAGGCTTTGGCCGCCGCCACGTCCCGAAGTGTGGAAGCCTTGCGGTACTCACGCTGGAGACCCCGGGATTGGTGCCCTACGGGTTCATGGGTCGGTACGGTTTTCAGAGATTCGAAACTCGTCGGCTTCTCATGTTGAGGCCTCGGGTTTTGATCAAATATAGCATCCGTACCAGATTGCAAGACTTTACATCCGAGAGCCCTCAAAACCTGCAATCTCGCAAGCCCGGCTACCGTGATCGGACATCTGGAGAACTGCTCGGTGCCTGATCCTCGGAAACTCGCTGAGACCACTCCACGACCTCACATGTCATTTCCACAGCTCGAGGGTTTCAGTATATTTCTCACCGCTTCGGAAAGGCAAACCTTCACGTGCGGGCGTTCCTTTGGGCTTGCGGCCTTAGGCTTCCAAGAACTTCTTGACGTGGACACGGCAACAGTTTAACAGGGAATCTTCTCAGAGTGTCTCATATGTTCAGCAAGCATAGGAGGCTATCGGGAAGCTTGAGTTTTCGAGCTCCTTGCGGGTTAGGCTTTGGGGTTAAGGCTTTGGAGTTAGTTAAGTCCATAATCCGATTCCGGTGTTTAGAGGCTCAGCTCATTAATCTGCTAGGGTTTTAAGGCGTAGGACAGACGATTAAGGCGGTTCTCGAAATAGGGTAAGGAGCACGGAAAGGGACCCTAATTCAAACCCTAAACCCTAAACCCTAAACCCTATAAACCCTAGACCCTAAACCCTAAACCCTAAACCCTATAAACCCTAAACCCTAAACCGCATGTATGTCCGACAATCTCGGGTGCGGGCGCGGCGCAATCGCGCCAATGCAGCGGCCTCGTAGCCTCTGCTTAGAAAGCCTACTAATATAACAATTAGAACAGGGTTTTGGGGGTAATTATAATTAGAATAGGGTTTTGGGAGATATTAGTATACTATAATTACATAACAAGGAACTCCCCAAAATAGTGTAGGGAATTTTTTAGGCCCCTATATTGCCCTATATTACAAGGGTCTGGGCTTGGGCTTAGGGTTTAGTGCTTCGGTTTCGGGCTTGAGGGCTTGAATGAAGCGCCTACTACAAGGTTTGCCGGCTCAAGTATCAGGGAATGGCTGTGGAGGTGAGGTTATGTAGGAAGTTGTATAGAATACCTGCAAGCAGACCTCACGGCTGCTGGGATTCAGAAATCTCCTCCCGCGGGGTGCACCTTAAAGCCGGACCCCGAAAACCCAAGCCTGCAAACCACCAGACCGCTAATCCCCCGAAGCTGCTAGCATGACGGCCCACGAAATCTGAGAATTGGGTGTTGTTCGGGCCTAGATAGAGTTTCGGGCTCCGGGGGTGTAGGGCCTAAGACGTATCGGTATGGGGATGAGGAAGGCTACGACTTAGGGTTTCAGCCATGATTTAGTCCTTGTAGGTGTTCCACAACCCCAAGCACAGGTGGAGAAGCGAGGGGTGGATCCACAACATGAGCAAACATTGGGAAGGGCTGTCATCCGTTTCTACGGATTCTAGCCGAAGGGGATCCTAGTGTGGAACAAGCCTAGCCAACATCCATGTTCACCACAGCGTTCTCAAGACAATAAACCACAACCCCCACCCCCTCAAAAACAGTCAGCTCTGTCTTACTCAGAAGCCCTGCCGTTTGGAGGGCATAAGTCAACAGCTCATAGAAATGCTCACAACCGTGACATCGCCATCCTGAGAGTGGCTTGGACCTCCGACTGCTACAACTACACGCAAAACCCCGCTTTATGCAAGCGAATCAGACGTAGCTAGCATGACATCTCAAGCTTCCTGTAGAATTGCTTAAGAGGACTTCTGCCTCGGACTCTGCACCCTCATCTGCAACTTTAATATGGGGAGTTCTCTAAAATGAGGGTCCCTTTTTAGGTCCCCAAAACAATTGCGGCACCCTTATTAAAACAAGGACCCCAAAAAGGGACCCTACCTTTGGAGAACTACCCCTATCTAAACTCCCAGGAGCCTGGAGCCTCGAGGGCCTCTGTCCAAAAAAGCTTTAGAAGCCCGATACAGATATGCCAACCCTACCAACCAAAAGCTCCTTACTGCATTATTACCTTGAGGAGCCTAAGCTATGGGAACTTTATGGTTTATATTTATATTCCTTATTATAGGTACTGCAGGATTCCTTAGAGCACCGTCTCCTACTTGGTCTGTCTATCCCGGACCTTGCTCAAGGAGCTGCTCCCCTCGAAAGCGCTCCTGCCAGCATTTCTACCGAAAACAGGGGCTTCTATGGTCCTGGCACTTGGGGGTTTCAGGGTTGAGGACTTTAGGGTTTTAGGGCATTTAGGGTTTATGGTTTAGGTACAGACAGTAGCCTGTGGCAACGTCAACCCACTTTCCCTACTCATGCAACAACTAAACAACGACCTTGAGGAGCGACTGCATAACAAGTCGGGCCGGAGTCGGAGGGAACTGCAGAGTCTGCACCAGCAGCAATGCAACGTGCGACTGTGCTGACTGAGGCTGTATGCGCGAATCAACAGTCGTCAATCAGAAATGGCGGACGGCATGCAAGAATAGATCAAGGTAACAACGGGATAGAGCCACTATATTCAACAGTTGTCATGTGGAAATATGACATACACGTTCCCCCACATCCTCCACCAGGGTTCCAGCACCCTGCCACCGAGGGTCGTCCGGACCCGTAAGCGCCGGCACCTCGGGTGTCGTTTTGACTACACTCGAAATATTTAGAATGATGATCATGGTAGTCGTGACGACCCTGAGAATGAGAGCAGAGATCAAAATAATCGGAATACTGGGAATAATGCACGTTTTTCCTGAGGCACCCCCGAGGCCCCAGATCGAGGGGGCAGCCCAAGATGCGGTGCTGAGGCTACCGATAGATCTACCGATGGTCACCTTCCGTAATCCTCATGCGAATATCAACGGCAATTACTATTATTGATCTTATAAGAATAACAATAACGATCGCAACAACAATGATAACAATACCATTCATAGTAATAACAATAACAATGACAGTAACTATAAGAATAATAGGGATCTGAAAGTTTGGAGCTGCTGCGGCTTGCTCTGGGTTTGAAACGATCTGCCTCTGGGTGTTCTGACACTGACTAAAACTCCTTCGGCGGTCGGTTTGGGGTTTGGGGTTTAGGGTCCTGTTAACATGAGCCTGACGGCGGGAACGACATCCGGTCATGATAATGACAAGCATACATATACTGTTCATGCTAGTGCTTATGTACCTTCTTGCCCGTGGAACGATGAAAACCTTTAGCAGTCGAAGCCCTACGCCAAGGCGTCCCACGCATGCCGCAATTCACCCAAACCCAACATCAACCCTCAACCCTAAACCCTAAACCCTGTAGACCATAGAAACCCAAACCCAACACTCCCCAACTTGCAACCCATCCGACCCTTGGGTTCATTGTTGGACATCTTGGGGGTGAGAGTTCAGGGGTAAGGTTTCATGGCTTAGGGCTTACGTTTCGTTTAGGATCAACATCGACCCCAAAAAACTGAAGTAAACTGGGCTCAGGCCAGCAGAAGCTCAGTGATTCTGTTATCATCTTCAACCCTGAACCCCAAAACACCACCGCCCAAAAGACCTAGCGCCCGCCTGCACCCCAAGCCTAGAACCAAGACCGTAAAACCCCGGAACTCGAAACCATGAACCCTAAACCCTGAACCTCCCGAAAACCCCAGACTCCAACAACTTGGCAGCCCAAAACCCCGCGATGTCGGGGGTTTAGCTTTTGCTCCGAGGCCCCAAGCCACTCTTTCCAGCTCTGCTCGAATGGTGCAATGCGTAAGCTTCTCCTGAAAAGTTGGGGGAGGGGGGGTGGTTCTTTCATCTCTGGAAACGGCGTGTCGGGTTAACTATAATCCTAAACCCAAAACCCTAAACCCTAAACCCCAAAAACCCTAAACCTTAACTATACTATACAACTCCATGTCGGAACATCGGGCTTTGCAAGACGCGAGAATGGCTTGGCCCCCAGCCGTCGAACCGCGATTCAGCATCAAGGAGAGCTTGGCTGAGACATCGTCGCCATTGGGGTCCTTGCACTGTATATTTTGATCCAACAAGCATTCGGAAGGAACATGAACCGGTCTTCGGAAAGAAGAACCAAGCTTCTGTGAAGCACTATCACTGTGAGTTTAATACTACTGCTTTCACTACTACACCGCTGCTGTGACTACTGTTTTCCCTTCTACTACTACCACCACCGCTACCAGAACTACTATACACATTCATGCGAACTACATCCAAAACACCCATACATGCATGCATACATACATCCATGCATGCATGCATGCATGCATGCATAAATACATACACATGTCGTTGTTATAGACTTGCATACGTACTTGCGTACATCCTCATACATTCTTACATACTTACACATGTCTTACCTACATACATACCTACTTACCTACGTACTCACACACAAGCAAACTGCATTTCACGTTTTGTATGTAATAATGTCACGTTTTGTATGTAGTTAATATCATAAATGCAATTAATTGCAAGCAGCAGGGTCGCTCCGAGGGCCCAGTCACCGCATAAAGAACCTATGTCTTTCGTACAAACCTTTGTAACATCCTATAACCTCCCTACAGAAACCGCCTCAAAACCTTACAACATCCTAAAAGAACAAAAAGAAGCTCCTTCGGGAGCTCAGGGACTTCCCTAAGCCGGAGCTCACCCACCTGGCAAGATCGGTTTGTAGGGATGTTTGGTGGGTTCGAGGACTTCGGATGTACGGTTAAGAATTAAGGGCTTCAGATTTCGGGGCTGCCTTACGGTTCTAATGTCTCGGGTTCCAGGGCTCAGAGCTCAGGGCTTCCGGGGGGGCTCACAGGCTTAATAGCAGGTCCAGGACGTGGGAAGATCGGAAGTCTGAACTGACAGCAAGACTGTCACCATCAAACCAAACCCTGAACTATCAAAAAACATGTGATAAACGGATCACTTTTCTGGAAAACGACGCTAAAGCCGGAAAAACACACTTCCAGCTGCCAAACCCTGGCCACTGAGTGCCCGGCTCCGCCTTGCCGAAGGCTCCGGCAGATCGTCGCCACAGGGCTCCAGGTCTGAGAGCTTCGGGTATCGGCTGGAGATTCCGTTTGGGAAGACCATCATGAAATATCCTTAGGATTTGATTAGAGTTTAGGACTTTAGAGTTTAGCGGTTAAGAGATTAAGGGTTATGGTTTCGAGGTTGCGGCAAAGGCTTCAGGGGTTCAGTGAAGGTTGGGATACGCCTGCTTCAAGGTACAAGTACTATACGAGTTCTGCATCTCCCCAGCCCTCCCTCTGCCGGGCTTGATCAAGATCAAGACTCACACGAGAAAGCTTCCATGGTCCAGAAACACAAACCAAGCGCAGGGCCGTCTCACCCATGATGTAGGAGGGGGCCACCTTGTCCTCCCAACCCCAGCAGCAAGCTTTTCTTAAGCTTTCTATGGCTTTCTAACATCCACCTCGTAGGTGAAGCCAGGCTGGCTCTGGCGTGGTTCAAACACATTGTTGCTGCTGCTGTTTAAAGAAAACTTGCGAACCCGGCTTCGCCTCGTCCTCGACTTGCTTCATGTCTTGCCCACTTCCCATCTTCACCGTGTACCTGCCAGTCGCAGCACAAAGTGTCTCCAACACCTCAAGCTTGGAGCCTCCAACAAGCTCTAGCCTCCAACGTCATTCTCAACCTCTGCATTCCGAGGGCTGGTTCGGAACCCGCCTCGAGGAATGGATTAGCTGGTTGTCAGGTCCCACCACCTTCCAGTGCACGAAAACCTGCAGGATAGCTCCGATCGCAAGTAGCGCGCCTACGGGCATAATGCTGCCATCTATCAGAGTCGAGTTGAAGCACCGATTCCGTTCTGGAACATACAGTGATGTCACATATGTTAGCGATAACATGTTTTCTGCTGCAGCATGCAAACATGTGCACATAGGATTTACATGTGCTTGCATATTTAAACATATAGGTATCTACGTGTATGTGTATATGTATGTGTGTATATATATATGTACATATATACGTA